TTTTGCATATCTTCTGTGAATCTCCAGGGAATTCAGTGGCGTTCCTTATCTCAAAAGCTTGTAATTAAGAGGATGGCATCTTTGGGCTGGAGAATTCCAGAGAAAATCATTTTCACAGCACCTAGAGGGCTCGATGTTGTGCTTGATGACAGATGGGAAACCTTTATGAAGGCTCCATAACCTCTCGCCCGTAGAGACTGTACTTTTGACACTGCAGAAATTGGGAGGATATAGATGTTTTTACTCGGGTGATAGTGTGGTGATTTTTTAAAACAACGAGTCATTTATTAAAAGTATTTTAATGAACTATACAAACAGTGAGAACCTGACAAAGCTTGTGTCATTGCTGAGAGCGAAAACATAACTATTAACTATAGAGTGTTTTGCTTATGGAGACTTTTCTATTGCAAGCAAATAAGATATAGGAAAAGACTAGCAGATAGAATTTCATGTTTCATCTTTTCATATCATGACCTCAGGAGTGTCATGCCAATTCCATTAATCCTTTTCTCAACTTAAAGATCCCTCTGAATATGAATAAAGTTGTATTTTAAAAACGAAAGAGAGAAAGAGAAAACAAGACTCATTCACATTCCGAGTCTGCTTTCTGTCTCACACGTATTACATTTCACAAAACAGATAGAAACAATAGAGCTTATTAAGAAAAACTTGTTTTGAATGGCAAATTAAGCATAATGAAAATACACACGTTTTTACAAGTAGTTATTTTTTGCACCAATTGAATATTTTAAACCTTTTTAAACTATGTACTTGTCTCTGCAAAACGTTATTCTTTTAGCTCATTTGCACCATATCACCCTGCTATATATTTTTATTTAAAATTTTAATTCGGTCAGTTCAGAAACCTGGATAAGCACCACACCTTGTCTGCAGCCAGACAGTAACCAATAGGGATGCCCTACCCTGGATATTTATAAACAATATCAGTGTTGGTTTCCAGACTGAACAGGATTGCTCCACACTATGGCTTCTTAGACAGAAAAAAACCCTTATTATATTAAAGAAGATATCTCAGCATTCATCTTTGATCCAAATACCTTTTTAGTGCAGTGTAAATCATCAAAATAATATAATGGTTTGTTTCCTGCTTGAAAAATTATATGAAATCCAGAAACAATCCAAGAATCTTTTAATGAAAAGTAAACTTGACCTAATGAAAACTTATTTCTGCCTTTTATTCTTATGTACAAATATATCGGTTTTTGGTAGTGGGGGGGCCACAAACAAACCATGACAACAGTTAAAAAAATACAGGTAATAGCAAAGGCAAGTTTTTATCTCCATTCCCCATATCTCCAAAGTCAGAAGCACATAAAAAAGGGTGCAGAGTTTATCTCAAATTTTGCTTTATACTGTAAATGTCTTCCTAATATGCACAAATTTGTGCATCTAGTATATAAAAAATCTTAAAGCAGAAAGGGCTCAAATGTAGAGCATTAAGGTGCATTTTTTTATATTTCTTAGGTATTACAGCGATCAGGGAATTTATTTTTACAGCCTGAGATGTCAGTATGCCACAGAAGCATGAAAATCTCACCATCTGTATGCTCATGGACAATCTCATCAAGTACACTCAACGACAGACTTAGAATAACAAAATTTAAATGCTATTACTACCGCCTAGCTGTACATGCACTCAAATCTATTTTAAATAGCAATCAACCTGAGTTATCATGCTGCTAACCTCAGGCCTAAACCAGTTTATTCCCTTTCAATGTTTTCTTATCCTCACGAATCCTGCTGTAAACCAAGCACATGCTATTTGAAATAACATTTGCTTAATTAAATGTGAGGTTACACACAGACTTACATCATTTAATTTGGCCAAGTGCTGATCCATAACCCAGTGAAGGTTCAGGAGTCGAGCAACAGCTTCACCTGGCAGTTTACGTAATGTGCTGGGCAATGTCCTTCTGGATATGTGTTTCTTGTCAGTGCCAGAAAGCAAGGATATGTTTTAGTTGGAACTCTGTTATAACAGACACTACATAGTTTAGATTAACTCCTTTCAGTAGTACAGCATCAATGTGTTATTGCCTTAACATAAAACATACAGATTATGTAAATCTGTAATAAATACTATTTTGAAGTGTATAGTAATCAAAAATCTTTCAGGGCAGGATGGAATGGAAACTGAGAAATATTGGAGAGTAAACATTCCAACGCTCATTCCTCTGCTTCTCCCTGGCAGAACGGAGCACTTACTGTAGCTGGGCTGCTAATTCTCCAGCCCCGGGGTTTGCCCTGTGAGTCCTGCAGGGCATGGACTTCCTGGGAAAGCTAGGGCCAAAGAGATCCCTCAGAAAGCGTTTCTGCTGTCTCTGCAGACCCTGTTGCACTGTTTGTGAAAGAGAATGGTTGTTCCTGGTCTGCGAGAGGGCCAGACCTTTTAGTACCTCCTCACAAGGCACACACTGTGTACATGCAGAGTCATTCAGGCTTGCAAGGCCAAGCAATCCGGGAGGCAAAAGGCAGTGGAGAAGAGAGGCCGTACCATTTGCTGACTGTATGTTTTAGCATTCCGATCTCTAGTTCCTGTGCAGAGCTGCGAGGGCAACGGAGCCCCTGGAGTCCATCAGTAATTGGCACAGCTCTGCATTTCCCTCACCTCGGCGGCCTGGTCTGGGGTGCGGCAATAGATTGTCTCTCACTGGGCAGCCGCTGCGCTGCCGGCACGGCCGGGCCCCCGGCGGGGAGCGCGCCGAGGTCAGCCCGGAGCACCCGCGGGACTCGAACCAAGAGCTCCCGGCCTTTGCCCTTGCGGGGAGCGCCCTGCGGACTCCTGCCAGCCCGGTCGCCAAGGGCGAGGCTGAAATCTACCACTGATACCCAGCAGCCTGCCAGGTCCCCCGGGTGCCGCCAGCCCCGCTGCGCGGTCCCGCTGGAACTCTCTCTGGGTTACCACCTATGCCGACTGGGGTGCCGCCTGCTGCGGAGGGGCCGGGTAGCGTTGGGCTTGCCATGCGGCCAGCGAGAAGGAGGGATCGCGGCAGGCAGGCAGGCGGAGGGAAGGAAGGAAGGAGGCCGGGCTGATTAGCATGCAGCAGCGCTCGCAAGCCCGGCTCCATTGTTTTAACACCTCCCCTCTCCTCCGCGCCAATCTGTCACCGTTCAGCAGGCGAACGCTGCTGCCTCGAATGCTGCTCTTCTCAAATGAGACGGATAATTAGCTGCCCCGCACGAATGGCGCACTCTTCTCACCCCTGATTGCTATCACCTTCTTGCTCCTGGCAGTTTTGACACCTCGTAATCAGCCTGCTGCTTTTTCTCTTTTCTTTCCCTATTTCTGATTTTTTTTTCTCCCCCTTCCTTCTTTTTTTTTTTTTATTTTTCTTTTTTTCCTTTTTTTTTCCTTTTTTTTTCCCTTTTTTTTTTTTTAATGCAATCCCAGTTGCCATTTGGATTGAGACTCCTCTGTTGAGTTAACCTTGTATGATTGCGGGGGAAAGGAGAATGTACGGTAGGGAGGGGAAGAAATCGCCTCCTCTGAGTCTCATCTGCTGAGTGAACCATGGGTGGGGGTAGAAGCATCTCGGCTTGATCCTCCAGTGCTTTTGTTCGTAAGGGGGAACAGCCTCTCTTGAGCATCCTCTGAATTAATATTATCTCGAATGGGGAAGGAACGTGTGTTGAACGACTCCTCCGCTCAGTTAATGGAGAAAAGACTGCATTTCTATTATGTGGTTAGATACAGCCATACGGGAAGGGATTTTAAAAGCAAGTTCACAAAGCCAGGAAGCTCCCTCTTCCTCCCGGGTAGGCAGGGGAAGGCAGGTAACTTCCTCAGCCGCTTAGAGCGATTGCACTGTTTCATGGGAGTCGGAAGAGAGATCTGATTGGAGTGCGAGATGGGAGAGGGAACGTCTTTCTTTCTGATTCTAGATAAATAAGAAATCTCAGTTAATGCTCTGGTGATTTCTGCGAGATTTTAAAAAACAGAGGACTCGTGGAATCTGTCATGGGAGCGTTTTCCTCTCCTCTAACAAGCAGTGACAGTCTAATTACTGGAGCTACGAGCAGCTGTCGAGTTAGCCAGAGAGACAGAGGAGCTACATGTGTTCTACCCGGCCGCCGGCACGGAGCCCTCGCAGCAGGCTGAGGCAGCCGCAGTGTCCCTCAGAGAGCTCCCGATAGGAATCAGGAGCAGTTTGTTTCCTTGCGAGCGCTCCCGCGAACGCTGGCTGTGAGCGCGGGGGTTCACGCGTCGCGCACCGTCAGCGCGGGGCGGGGTGACAATGAGCTCGTACGGGAGGGAGCCCTGAAACTGCTCCAGCCCCGGGGCTGTCCCGGAGAGGGCTCCGCTGGACCTGGCGGACGAGTTTGCTGCTCTTCCTGTCCTCTCAAGTTCCTTCCACCATATTTATTATTTTTAATGACATTCTACTTCCCATTTGCATTCAAGCTCCTCTGCCGGGTTGTGTGGAAGAGGGAGGGAAGGGGAGGAATACTGAGCCTCCTCTGGTGAGTGTAATAAAGCAGATGTCCCTGCTGGCAGCAGCAGCCGCCTCCAAGAAAGCTGTGTAAGGGGGGCCCATTCAGGGACCGCACTCGCCTCCCACTTCGAGTCGCTCACAACTGCTCGGCGTGAGATTTATTTATTTATTTATTTATTTATTTATTTATTATTTAAAAACTAAACTAGTGCTCCTCGCAGTGGTCTGATCGGTGAGCCTATCTGGATGCCCTCAGGCAGCAACAGTTTTACGCACGCAGGATTAAAGAGTTTCCTAAAACGTTGCACTAGGCAGGAGCCCTCACAAGGGGAGATGGATGGGTTCTGTTGGTCGACGAGACTTTGGTCAACCGTGTTCCCCCCACCTCCTGCCGTCCTCCCCGCTGTGCTCTGGCTGCGGGGGACCCCAGGCTGCCTCTAGCAACAAAGAGCCTTGTCCAGCCTTGCGCGGGGACTCGGGCTGGGCGCAGGGCTGCCGGCTCTGCCAGCTCCTGGGGAAAACGCATCCACGTGTGGAGGCGCGGGGGGAGAAACAGACGACTTTATTTTCTTCAAAGGTGATTCGCAGTTTGCGCATCTCTTAATAACGCGAGCTCCTGAGCTCGGATTTCACGGTTGAGAGGACGAGCCGGTGCTGTGTGTCGGGCTGGCTGGAGATGTGCGAATCCCTCTTCTCTCCTCCCAAGGCTGGAACCTGCGCCTCTCCCGGGCACCACCCCCGGCCGCGCTCTCCGGGGAGGCGCCTCACAGCCCGCACGGCGCGGCCGGGCCCAACACCGCCTCTTCAGCGCTGCGGACCCGCAGGGCTCAGAGCTCCCACAGTAACAAACTCTTCCTCCAGGTCATGGCGCAGACGTGCACTGTACACTGCTGTTCCTTACAGTACACTCTGTTGACAGCCCGTCACAAACATGACATGTTTAAAATAGAGAAAATAATTGCAGAAAAATCCATTTCTAAAAATTACGCAGGTGTTAATTCGTCCAGAAATTTGTCACCTGCAAACAAATCTTTAAAAAGAAAAAGTGTTGTGCTTTGCTGCTATGAAAATATTAATGCTAATTCTCAACATCAGGGCTAAACTCTATATTCAGTTCAAATGCAAAAAGCAAGCACCCTTTGTCATTAATTTAAAATACTTGGCAACACCCCTATTTTTAAAATTGGTATCAGTAAATCCGGAAACTTTATCAGACTTCAATGTTTCAAATAAACACAAAGCTTAATTGTATTGAGAAAGCCACTAAGTATATTCAGATGAAAAATAAAGTCACTGAGATTTGGGTGATTAGGTTTTCCCCTTTCCTTTGTAGTCTGTACCAGACTTGGGCAATCCATCAGAGCAGACCAGAAGGGATGACAAGTAATCTTTAGTATTGTTAGTTTTGGGGAAAGTTTAACCTTTTATATCCTTCATATTAACATAATCTGTTCCCTGAAAGCATTTTTAGTAATTATTAATGCTATAAAGGTACATGAACAAGAAAATTATTTTTAATAATATGTAACAGATACTAATAAAATCATTACTGTTCTATTTTGGAAAAAATGTCATTTATGTATTACTTTTGATTACTCGCTTTAGTAAAAAATTCAGCTGGGAAAGTCAACCATTCATTTATGTTACTAGTGAACATGCCTATCCTTATTCTGGCCCACCTGGATTCAGCAATTATGATAATTATACAAGAATCTAAATTAAGAGGTTCACTATTGTAAGTTAAATTTGGAAATAATATAATATAAATGAAAAAATAAGGGCCTACTTCTCTTCCTGTTTACTTCAGGGAGAACATAATTACATCACTGGATATTGTAAAAAAAAAAATCCTAGCATTACCAATTTTTGCCAGCTAGATTAAGGCATTAATCCTGCAAATCTACATTCATAAATATAGTCACAACTTCAGGCCTATTCAGACAAAGATTAACTGGAAAAAAAAGCATTTGACATCACTCTCAAAGTTAATAGTGAAGCATAACAAGCAATAATGTGAATTACAGTACGGAGTGACTTAGTTTCATTTTGCTTTGTCAAAAGACAACTAAAAATGTGCTTATCTGACAAACAATTTCAGTCATGAACTCTTGTTACAAGAAGTCTTAATTCTTAAACTCTTATCTGTTGAATAAAAAAATGTATAAATGTACGCAAAAACAGTGAACCATTGAATTCTCATACATTAAGACTGTACTTTAAAGTGGGAATTGAGATGCCGAAGGAAATCTTCCTTAGATGTTAGAGATGGTGGGAAAACTTCTCGACAGAATTCACATATTCCACACTGATTCAGTTCAGAGTCTGCATATGCTTGTGCCAGCAAATCATTGTCTTGAGGCTGCCAAATGGGCTAAAAGAAACAGAAAATTATTATTGCTGAGGTTTACAATGTGATTTACATTGTGCTGTTATTTATATTAAAAAGAATACCTGCCTCTTTAAATTAGGATTCCTTTACACCTGCCTGGCCAGAGATGTTAACTAGAGAGTTCTCATTTAAGAAAAGAAAGATAGGACTTTGATTTCTTAAAGTTCTATAAACACAGTATCCTTGCAAATATTTAAAAATACCTAGGTATCTATGAACGATAAATATTGCTATGAGCACAATTCTGTAATATCAGTCTGGTACATACTAAAGCTTTTTTTTAAACTTTGAATTTCAGTATTTTACTGTAGAAGCCATAGTACACAATAGCTATTTAGCAGAAATGAGAAAATACGGTTTTGCCTTAGAATAAAATGTTTCTTGTACAGAGTTAATATTATTAATATTTTATTTCCATTCTTATTGTCATGTAACTAGTGTTCAGCTTACTTCCAAAATGACTACCTCCATGTCATGCTTAAGGTACTTATTTGCTCTGGCTGCCTTTTAGTATAAATGTGTCACAAATAATCTTTTTTGGGACTCCTCCTGCCATGACAGCATCAAACTCACTGGAACCATCTGAATATCTGTCCATGCATTCGGGCAATTCTATAAACTACGTTGGATTTGGTTCAGCAGCTGCACTGCTCTTGGTCCCTGAGCTAGTTAGTTTCAAGCCAGCAAGTCTGTTTATTCAACATTGGAATTTCAAGGCACTTAAGCCCAGAGTCTAAGCGTACATTATTCAGAATCGTACCAGCTAGGAATCAAAAGATCTTCTATCAGTTTTCAAAGTAAAGTTAAAACTTAAGTTTCATAACTTTAGCATTAGCAACACAAGATCAAATAGTTACATTATATGGCCAGGACAATCAGGTTTTGAGTAAATTGAAAACCAAACGCATCCTGTAGTGACTACAAAGTAGAAAGAATGTCAGCAAGCTGGTATGAGCTCTATGTGAGGATAGAGCTTAGAAAAGAGTGTGCCCTACAGGGCTTTTTTTGGCTCAGTTTTTTCCTCTTGCTTCACTCACACATGGGAAGGCAAGGAAGAATACTTTACAAAGTCGCTTCTTTGTAAGTTTTAAGTCTCTTGCTACTGATACCCATGATTTTTAATTTTCAGCTCTTCTTTAAATTTCATCATGCCAAATAGTTAAAATCTATTGTTTATTTCTCCCACGGCAACCCACTGTACAACTAAGCTGGCTTTCACAGCGGCTAAACCTTTTTAAACCACCCTGATCTTCTTGGGAGTCAATTTCCTGCCCATTCTGTTTTTAAACAGTGTTTAGCTTATCACATAGCAATAGCAGATTTACTGTCTTTCATTATGGTCAGCAATCCATATAATTAAATTGACTAATTAGTAATTAAGTGCAATCACACCACTTTTTTCAGCTCAAAGAGTCTACTTATTGTATGTTGCTGGTGTAAATTGCATATTAAATCTATCTAGACGCTGACACACTTAAACAAGTTAACACACTTAAACACACTACATGAATATGTTTAGAATTATTTGTTTTTGATATGATAGAAAGCACCGTTTGAAAAAAAGATAAAATAGTATTGTAAAAACTATTTGTCATCTTGGAAACATAACAAGGGGAGGTACCCATCCAGCAACCCACACATGCAGGCACTTAACTTCCATTCCTTGAGTGCTAAGCTTGTGCTTAATATCCTTGTCAGAACAGGTATCTATTTAAGCAGACATTCCATTTCAAAAGCAATATTGAGATTAATAGACTACTGATTTGCTTTTAAAATCATGAACATACTTAGAAGTATTTTTGATGGAAACAACTCCCTCAAACTGCAAATACCAATAAACGTGCATCTATATGAAAGCCTCAGCTAAATGCAGTCTGTAAAATCCTAGGTTCACTAATATCCACGTTTATTTTAATCTACTGCTCTTTTCAGTCACGTTTTTTTTTTTTTTAGTTACATTCTAAGAAAACAGTACGGAGTTTTTAGATTTAGTATCCACATAGAAGGAAAGAGCTAAATTTATTACATCAACTGAGAGCAGTTCCAAGAACTTGCTGTTGCCAAATCTACTGCATTTATGGGGTTTTCCATTTTATAAGTTAACATATGTAGTAAATACTTGAAAGTTTTATCTACACTAGGAAAAAAAAGAGGTATATAAATTCTCTCCTTTTTGGCTTTTCCTTCATTTTTGGAAGGGATGATCGAAGCTGTAAGCAGCCTAACCACCCCCTAGAAAGGTGGTAAAAATACTAAGAACAAGTTTATGCCTAAATTTTGCTAAGGTTAACACAGTGAAAAGGGCACGTATACAAGTAACTTTAAAAAATTACTATTTTCATCTACATATATATTATCTATTACCAAATCTTTAGCACAATTTACAGTCAGAAAAAGCCTCTAGAGCTGAGTCCAATTATTTGGGAAAAATACCAAAAACCCTATTTTGAAAGCCGCTGAATAAAGGTGATGGATATTTAAATATACTGATATGCACAGATGTACGTTTAAGGGATTCTAAAGTAATACTACCTTGTTGCAAACAAACTTTTGAATAAGAAATAGCATTTTAATCAATGCAGTGCTATTGCAGATATGACTTTCAAATAATAAACAGTTCACCATTAGCTTTCTTTTTCTCTGAGTGCTAGCATTAGTACATTTTTCTCCACAAAACAGATCATTCACATTCTAAATGCTGGCTCCATATTAATTTCCTTATTTTGTGGAAATACCAATGGTCAAAGGTTTATTGTTATTCAGCCACTCTTCTGTACTTTTTAAGCTGCATATTCTCCTATCAATTTCTAACCACATACCAGCTGTTTCACTTGCTGTAATGTACAATGCAGGGTGCCATCTATTGAAAAATGAATACACAAACTAACTAGTAAAAGAACAGGCTGGAGAGGGAATACAAAAAAAGAGGATAGTAGCAAGCAATGGAGTGAATTCTTCACAGTTCCACAGGAATTCTACTAGCAGTAAAACAAATGTGTTAATTTGTTTAACTTAGTTACAACTTTAACTGAGGACCCAATGAAAAATACAATGAAAACTGTAATTAATAAGTTGGTAAAGAATTGAGATCTCCTACATTATAAATAGATATTTAAAATAGTTTTTGAAAAAATCAAGCTTATAGCATCAGTCTTTCAATGCTTTAAAATTTTCACTCAAAAGTGGTTTGCAATGCAAAATTAAACTAGACGGGGTAAATTTTAGGAGAAGAATACATCAAAGATATCATGTCCTACAAGACTTTCCAAATGCTGGTTTTGCAGGTCCTGCAGTGACCAAATGGAAAGGTAAAGCTCTTCTGCCACATGTACCTTATCATTAGGAAAGAACATAAAACTTAATCCATGTAAATAGTAAAAATATATGAATTCCACCCTCAGAGAATTCCTAATTATCACTATTTGCTTATTCTTGAAAATCTGTCCTTTCACAAAGTACCAGAAAAACCACAGAAATAAAAAAACAAACACAAAATCAGTCTATAAAGCTCCGTAGTTTTGCCAGCATTCAGCTGAGACAGGATGTTACACAAAAGAAGCAAAGTACTCAGGGATGTGAGTGTCAGAACATGCCAATATGATTTTCTGCTTTACAGCTACTGGACCTTGTTTTCAGAAGCTCACATGGACTTAAGGCTGTAAGTGAAATTTAAGCCCAAATTACATACATAAAATAAAATATTTTTGCAAACTTTCCTTCATTCAAAAACACAATTACGCTTTTTTCCTACAATGACAAAACTTTAAGTTTCTTAGAGCAGAGGAAAACAGTGTTGTTGATACCTCAGACTGAGACAAAAAGTAGCTATTTTTATCATAGTGGAACTATTTATCTGTTTAGCTTTTTAATTGGTTCATTATTCTTATTCTCTGCTGTACATGAAAAACAATTAAAACAAATGTGTGCCCTATACAACGAAGATCAAGGGTAGAAAGAAAGCAATCTAGGGGGCAATTTAGGATTAATGACAGCTTTGAAATAGATATAGAAGCAATTAATATCTAGATGAACTGAAATTTGTAAAAGCATCCAGTGCTTATGTCTGCTTATATTCCTGACGTTTCACTGGAAAAGCATCTTGGACACATTCTGCAGTATTAGGAAGAAGAAATGACATGAGATATTGTCTTTAAAAAAGACTGATGAGGTTTCTTAGATAATATATTAATCCAATCTCAAAGTTCTTTGCAAAATGTGTGTCTGAATCATTAGCATTTTTTGAAATGTAGAATATTTACAGAAAGATACCTGATGAGGACCTCTGACGGTTGTTCCAGCAGCTTCTAAAGAAAAAATTACTTCAGGTACACCCTGGTTTGTGTGCTTAGGTACAAATGTGAAACCACTGTCTGTTGTTTTTAAACATGATTTGTCACAGATATTTTCTATGGGCATCTTTGCATGATCTGAGGGGTTTGTTTTGTCAACAGTAGTTAAGCTTTGTAAAGCTGAGGTCATGAGATCAATGCCATGAGCTTCAAATGAGTTAGGTTCCAATTTACTGAGGTTAACAGCACGGTCTCTGTGCTCCAGGTTAAAATGATGATCTTGAAGCATGTTTTCAGATATACCAGTACAAGGAACTGTTGGTTTTTCCTGAGTGCTCTGCAAGAAAGCAGAGTCATTGTCTGTAGGTGGAAACTTGACATTAAATTTAGAAAGTGATTCTACAGAGTTGTTGTCCTCATCTTGGCCCACTCCTCTTGGTGTGATAGATGTGATGCATGATGCACCTCTATTTATATCCTTTATAACCCGAGGCTTAAAAAGCTCTTCTGCTTGTTCATCAGTTTTATCAGTGCACTGTATCGGCATGGAAAACTGTATTTCTGTGAAGAAAGAATGAAGAAAATATTAAATAGTCCATTGAAATACAGTTATTAAAAATGTGACATTGGGGTATTATTTTTTTGTCTTCCTTCCCTGCTTTTTTAACTGTTTATTTTCTCTTTAAAATCAGAATGAGGTGTAGTTCTCTTTCACAAACATTAGTTCTGACACAAAAACTATCAGAACGGAAATAAAAGGAAATTACTCTCTTCTAGTAATTATATTTCACTTTGATTTATGGCTATAAACATTTTCATTTTATTGAAAATTATGTTGTCCCATACTCTTAACACATACTTGCATATTTACTGAAGTGTTCTGGCAGAAATAGAAGCTGGAACCCAAACCACTTCACACAGTGCCAAGAACATGCTAGGCACCATGAGCACGATTTTAGAAGGTATTCAGGTACCCAACTCCCACTGGTTTCCAAATTAGTTAAATATTTAAACTGACTAACTATTCAGAAATGGGACCATGATTTCTCTTTGTTTCGAGAATTCACCCTTCATTTTTGGCACTATATTAATAAAAATGGTAATGGTTACTCCTAACCAGGTGAGAGAATAACCTCAGTATAAACTGATTGTACAGCAGCCTACTGACAGTGGAACACAGAAGTAACAAATCAAACATTAAATCTATATAGCTTTTGTCATGTATACCTTTACACACAGTTGACTTAAGCACTTCTTTTATCATCTATATCGCTTACATTCATGTATGGCTTTTCACACAGTTGAGTTAGGCATTGGTTGGGAAATCAAAACCATTCTTGTAAAGTAAATTGCCAAACACATTTCCTCCAAAATTCCCACCCTCAAATAATGAAGTTATTAGCATACAATCAAACTATCACAATACTGTTCAGACAGAGCAATTTGAAGCAACAAGATACATGTCAGCACTTCATGTAACAAAACTTCAGTAATGGGTGACCTAAATTAAAAATCAAGTACTGAAATCAGCATACTTTGCTTCAGCTGTGTGCATTTGGCTGGTGTTCATTGAAATCACTTAAGAGTCTGATCCTACTATTAAGAAAAGTTAGTAGAGAGTACCCATAGTAGCTTACATTGTATTAAAGGTAAGCATTAGCAGAACTGGACATTCAGGATCTCTCACAGTTTCAGCAAAAATCAAGTCTTCCCTTTGTTTTCAGGAAGGGTTGGATTAAACTCTTGTCCCATATAAGAAAACAGTATTTAAAAGTCTGCATAGGGAAATCTAGGAAATAAGTCCTCCGAGTCTCCTCAGTCCTGCAGTTTTCCTCTAACAGATATGGGGCTAGAGGCATTCATAGCAGACATCTTTTGAACTGACAGCTAAATTAAAAGCAAGCAAGTGCTGTCATTCACACAGTATGATGGGATATCACATGTAGTAAGTGCCTGCCTCTCACTCCAAGGGACAAAACAATTACAAGAGCCATTGATGTGATGACTGTCTTTTATAGCATGTGATTTGGAGCATTCGTCATAGAATGCCAAAACTGGCGGTGCGTTTTCTTGGTGAAATACTGAGCACCATGTGAACAGACTTGAAAAAGGCAGATGGTAAACAGTGGAAGTACTTCTATGTATGTGTAATTTGCAGTATTTTCAAATATAAAGCAAAGCTTTCAAACAGTTGAATCACAATAAGAGCTTAAGTATGATATTACCAGTTTCAGGTTCTGGCTTTATCTTAAATATACTCAGTTGGTCTGTTTGTTCTCTGGCTAGCTTACATATTCGATGACACTCTTCTTTCATGTCCTGGAAAATACTCTCCAGATTCTCTCTGGAAGATCAAAATTGTAAATTAAAGAGTCAACCAATTCAGCTTGTTGTGACCTTTAATCTAGTCAAACCCACAAACCAAAGAAAAACAATAGTACAAGCTACTTTTCTTGGATATCTTGTTCCTCAACATATGTATACATATTTTTGTTCTCCTCAGCAAAAGCAAGCAGAAAAAGGAAGAGGAAATGTTGTCAAAGAGTTGTTTAGTCATATCATACACATATATATTTGAACAGAGGAACTGAGCCTGCAAGGACCACCCCCAAAAATCCAGCCTTTCAGTTCTTTCAGGTATTTTGTGGAAGAGTTTATCTTTCCCAAGGGTACTGCTTCCACCTCAGTTCTAAGGAAAATAAGATGCTGCCACTATGAACAATAATTGTTTTTGTTATTGCCAGTGCACTTCAGAGTGCAGAAGAAGGAACACACAAGCATTTGTTACAGCTCTTTCCTTCTTTGTCTACCTGGCATTTTGGGGAGGAGTTTGTGAACTCATCCCCTCTGGTTTCATACCGTATCATATGACTTTTCTTTTTATTCTGAGGACTTATTCTAGTATTTCTTTCCAGAGTATCATATGGGAATCTGATATTTAGTTATCTGCACTGAGAATGGTAAAAGTTGTTCATGCTCGTGTGAATTTATTGGCCCAAAGGCACTGTTATTTAGTTACTGATGCATCCATAAAATTCCACTGTGACATTTTGATAAACTTGCTGAGTAATATAATGGATTTTATAAAATGAGCTTCAAAGATGAAAAAGTAAAGTTGGATTTGTGTTCTCTTTTGCATCTTTACATCAAAAGATCTCAAAAGGGATTTTTCTTTGATCTCGTGAATTGTTTTCCTTTTTTATTGCTTATTCATATAACAATCAGACTGTGTTCCTACTTCTGTTGTTTTTCTTTTTGAAGACACAAATATCTGTTTGTATCTCATTTGAAAAAAAGATCTGCAGAAGTACTTAAAATTGCTACTGTTAACACATTCTGATGGGATTTTGTGTTAAAACATTCTGATGTTTTGATAAATAAGAAATAATAAAAAAAATGAAGTTTCTAATCAGAACTTAAAAATATAGCTATGATTAGATGAGCAGTCTTAATTTGCTAGACATTTGTGATACTATAATCTTACTAATGTAAGATTACCAGTAATCTTACCAGTCACATACCTCTTTCCAAGAAAACAGTAAAGTAAGGAAGCTATTTGAGAGTAGGGAGACAGAAGACAGGTAAGGGTTTTTAATTTTTTAGATATAAATCAAAAAGACAAACAAGTCTTTCTCACATTACAGTCTTATTTCCTCTCTTTCTTATCATAAAAGACTAAAGATCCATGTGGTTCACCTAGCCTATGTATGGGAGTGCTCAAAAGCAGATGCCTAGGCAAGAGAATAAGAAGACAGCAAGAATTTGATACTTTCCCTTAACACTCCCCTAACCTCACCTTAGAAAACCTTCTATTGACCCCAGCAAAATTGTTACAAGTGGCATTACTGCCTATCCTGTATGAAAAATGCAAACCTAAAATTCTGGTCAATACTTTTCTGAAATCACATGCAGAAGAGGAAATCTACTGCTTTTGACCCCTGGTCATAGCAGGGGCTTGCTGGCTTCAGCTTACAGATAAACTTGGTTTCAAACTATCTCATTTAGGATGCATCAGGCCAAGAATTATTTCTTCATGCTGCCTATCAGACCTCTTCCTGGCAGCACAGCAGGCTCCTGTGCTGTGCTGCCACGAGTTAATCCATGAGGCTGTACATTCCTGTCCAGAAGAGTTAATGCAAGGCAGTTAATGCTTATCCAAACCCCAGCATTAACATCCACCGCTGTTTCCCAGAATTTAACCTCCTGCTGAACCAAGTGGCTAATGTTCTGGCCCCCAGCTTAGCCCTCCATACTTGTAAAGCCCCAGCTATGATTCCACATAGTCGTTGGCTCTATTATCTTCCTGCATTAGCTCTTTGACCTTTTGATGCTCCCCCCTCCCGACTCCTTGCCTAGCCAGTTCTTAAGGTATTGTGTAGAAAAGAGGGCAATAGCTGGCCTTAATTGCAGAAAAGCCAAAAACAAATTTGAAAAATACTGCAGAAGTATTTACCTTTCAGGTGAAATACCAGAGATCCCTAGAGATAATTCAGGCATATCTGGAACAACTTTCTTACTTTTCACCTTGAAGTAAAATATGAAAATATTGAGCATGTTAGCATATTAATTTTGTACTTCACCTTGATATGAATAAAAATGTCATGGGGTCCTTCACCTAGTCCTGCTGAAAGCTCTCAAAGCATTGTCAAAATGACAAAAGCAGTTTGTGTGAAATTCTTAGTTCCTTTTAGGTTAACTTATTAACTCATTTCTCTGCTCATGTTCCCTTGAAAGGGAACTAATTCTAAGAATATTTCTTGATTGTAATTCGTTTTCAGTTATGTATAAGGTAAGATTCTGTCTTTCATATAAGCTTCTTACCCAGCTATTTTACATCTTAAAAATCAATTTATTCACTGAAAATTTCAATGAACATATCGGAAGCTAATATATCAGGAGTTCTAGCAGTTTTTAAGTAAGTTATTAACTTTTACTACCACCGTGTGGTTCACTCCAGTATTACATAGTTTTACATCTGCCAGGCATTAAGGGAAGTTTTCATAACCAGTCACTAAGCTGCAGTTCCACTAGAGCTACATTACCAGATGGCCTGGGTAGTTCATATGTGCTCCAAGTCAGACACGAACTTGAGCACGTCTGCCAAATCAGCTGATTCCAAAGATGTGTAAGCTTAGAAATCTGTATAAGCCGATCCATTGCCTATAACCACAGGTGTGTCTTACCTGTAATGCTGAAGTGTGGATGCAGATCCTGTAGATGCATTTGAGCTGCCTTACATCCAGCAACACAGGATACAAGTCCTTGCCACAGTAAGCTAAGCAACGCTTAGAAGTCTAATAGCAACAAGTTCTGCCTGTGCTCACTTTAAATTAGGTAGCTAATATGTGTATACATGGTTAGATTCACATCAATGATTGCACTCTAGCTGCACAAGGACAGAATTCCAAAATGCAAAAATAGGGTAGCACAAAAATAAAAAAATCAACTCAGTTTTGGTGACAACTTCCAACTAAAAATTATAAACCAGAAATGTCAATCTGGAGTTTTCACAAATATGAAAATTTTCAAGATATACCAAAAATAATTAACATACCAACTAAGCAATATGTATTTAATGGTGTTCTCTATGTGCTTTGTATAATCTGACAGTTTCCTAGTAATTATAGAATTATGATATTTAAAATAAGTTTATTAGAATAATTAGTAAGAATTCCAAACATTTCATGTTTGAAAGAAGTAATAATTTACAAATATTTGTCTTTTATATTTTATTTCTGCTTGGTTTCTTATCTTACCTCCCTTTTATATGTTGGCATCTGTGTACCCTTTTGTGCTTCATTTAATTCTTGCAATTTGCTTTCCAGATTTCTTATTTTATCATCTTGATTGGAAATAATAGATAAAAGTTTCCTTTCCTTTTGATTGCTTTTGTCCTCAAGTTGCTTCAATTTCATGCTCTCACTGTCTAAATGTTCCTAAAAAATAATTTTAGAAACACCAGTACAATTAATAAATTTGAGGTTTGTGGAATATCACTTTTCAGCAGTCTATAATAAGCTAAATGTAGGTTTTGCATCATAAGTAAGGGTCAGTCTTGTTTATTACATTAATAATTCTCAATTGGCAGTAAAAACCTTCTACACACAGCTGTAAGTCATCAAAACAACTGTATCTTCTCAATTTCTGCAAGTCATATTACTGTTCATACAAAATAAAGACACTTTCTTGGTTCACTCACTATATCATTTACATTAACATTTTATGTATAATATTTTGCATATATGATACATAAAATAGTATTTAATTAATTACAGTCTTATACCATTTTGAATATGGTGATAATTCTGCAAATTGCGCAAACCCAAGAACACAATCACACAATCACAGAATGCTAGAATATCTCCAATTGGAAAGGATCCATACACATCAAGTCCAACTCCCTGCTCCTTAGGACTACCCAGACCTAAACTACAGAACTGAGAGCATTGTCCATTCTTTGAATTCTGAGAGGCTCGGTGCCATGATGGCTTCCCTGGAGAGCCTGTTCCAGTGACCAACAGCCATCCCTGAAGGACCCATTCCTAATGCCCAACCTGAACTTCCCCTGATGGGACTTCACTCCATTGCCTCGTGTCCCGTTGCTGCTCACCAGAGAGGAGAGCAGCATCTCCCTGTCCACTGCTGCCCTTGAGGGCGTTGTCAACTGCAGTGAGGTCACTCCTGAGCCTTCTCCTTTCCAGGCTCAACAAACAAGTGACCTCAGCTGCTCCTCCTAATTCTTGCCCTCAAAACTTTTCACCATCTTGGTCATCCTCCTCTGGACATGCTCTAATATTTTGATGTCCTTTTTGTGGCACCCAAAACTGCACACAGTGCAGAGCAGAGCAGAGCAGAGCAGAGCAGAGCAGGACAATCCCTCCCTTGCCCAGCTGGCAATGCTGTGCCTGATGCCCCCCAGGACACAGTTGTCCCTTTTGGCTGCCAAGGGACACTGCTGACTCTCATCAACTTGCCATCATCCCAAACTGCAGATGCAGGGCTGGTCTCCAGCCTCTCATGCTCCAATCTTTATGTATAACCAGGATTGTATTGCAAATATTTCAGTCCTATAAAGATTTGAGGAACAAAAAGCTCTAGCTGCTCTCACTTTGATGATCCATCTAGTAATTAATGGAACTTTTAACTGTGTGGGATTTTTGTGGAATAAAGAAGAAAATAACATTTTTTTTAATATGCTCAAAGAGTAGCTGTAAAAATTTTCAAGAAACAACCTAGAGTTGAAAACTGCTGCTATGAAAACCTTATACTTGTTAGTTTATGAAATCTAGGGAACTGTATCCACAAGAAGTGTCCCCAAGCCCCATGATTGTCTCTGCAAGAGAAGTAAGCCCAAAGGGTTAGCTCTTAAAGAAGAATGCAAATGAAATGCAGTTAAATAGTCTGCAGATAGGTAGGGTAAGATGAAGAGGAAAGAAGGGTGAGGTTGTGCATTTGGAGATTAGGCAGGTAGGGGCTACCCTACTAGACAGAGACAGCCATGCAGGGATAGGTCCAGAGCTGGTTTACCAAGACACCAGCTGGCAAAGCATGGATGTGTGTACATGCAGCTGACACAACTGTTTAGCCTCAAAAAGTTAGACTAGCTGGATAAAAGAGAAAAACCTGCAGAAAAATAACTTTGAAGGCATTGCTTTATAGTCTCTCAATTGCAACTTTGAATTGAATTGCAAATCTACAGTAAGAGCTTCAATGCAACTCCAGACTTGGATGGTGTCTTAAGGATCCAGATTAAGCCTCTTCTGCTCAGCGACTTCAAAACAGTGTCTAAAAATGGCATGTTTCAATCCCCAAAAAACTCCTTAATCCTAACTCTTCCATGCTTTGCATTTCTGACAGGTCAAATTCAATTTCCCATTTAAATAAGATAAGGGGATACAGCTCCTCCTGTGTTTTCCTTCATCATTATTTGCTGGAAATTCAAACACCTAGGAAAAAGCTTTCATCAAAGATAAGTCTTGTCCTTGAGGAACAATTGTATCTTAAGGACAGTAAAATAACTCACTGAGCTGTGATACAGCATAATTTATCTCTTTGAGACTATTACAGCTCCAATTCACATGTGGGCTTTCAAAAGCCTTCAGACAACTGGAGGCACAGCAGTAATGGCCAGTAGTTCTCCATTTCTCCTACATCTGCAGGAAGTGAGGACAGGATTTAAGCAAGAAGGGAAAAAAGCCACATGGGAAGTGCCATGCAACATGTTACAGTGAAGATATTATCAGTACATACTGATGGAAATCGTCATTCCTGTGCACCATCAGGATACCAGGAAAAACACTGGAGAAACAATTACACCTTTTGAGATATTTCACTAATACAACCTTTCATAACTTGATGACCTTAAGAGTTTTCAAGAGTTGCCTGGTGGTTTGCAATGATGTAGTAACCCTTATAAACTGGCTGAAGATTACAAAGCTAGTGCTTGATAAACTTCATAAGCTTCATAAATGTTATAAATATGTCACATAGGTCATACCTGCTCAGTTAAGTACTTGGCAACACAATGCACCTTTTTAAGCATGTGGGTATTAGCTGTCAGCCAAGTGGTTACATACATATTATGAACAGATCTGTATCTTTTCTTTTGCAGAGGCTTTATAGGATCAGAGCATAACTGGAATCGGAAGGGACTTCTAGGGTTCCCTAGTTTCTAATGAAATCAGGGTCAGTTACAATGTCTGATCAAGTTACTCAGTCTGGCCTTGAATTTCCCAAGGATGGAGACTGCACAACCTCTCTGGGCAACCTTTTCCCATGCCTGGCTGTCCTCATGGTGAAATGTTTTCCCCCGTGTTCAGTCTGAACCTTTCCTGTTTCATCTGCCCATTGTCTCTTATCATCCTGCCATGCACCACCATTAAGAGCCTGGCTCCATCTGCCTGATAACCTGAGTGTAGGTATTGAAATGCTATAAGCTTTCCCTGAAGCCACCTCTTCTCCAGGCTGGACAAGAGCAGTTTCTGCATCTTCTCATGGGATATGTACTCCAGCCCACAGTTACCTCAGTGGGGCTTCTGCTGAACTCACTTTAGTTTGTCAATGTTTTTCCTGTACTGGAGGTCCCTAAGCCTGATAGAGTGTTCTAGACGCAGTCCAGTGAATGCTGAATAGAAGGAGATGCTCACTTCCCTGGGTGTGCTAGCTGTGCTCCTGTTAATACAACCAGGGAACTGTTGCCCTTCTTTTCTGTCAGGACATGCTGCTGGCTCATGCTCAGCTTGCTGTCTAACAAGATCCCAGCTCTTTTCCAGCAGAGCTGCTCCATAGCCAGTCATCCCCCAGACTGTACTGCAGCAAAGGCAGGTCCTTTTATTTTCCCCTGGAGTGTGCTATAATGGCCTGTTTCAGTGGCCAAACAAATAGTCAGGTAGTTTCAAGGAAAAACATAAGTCAACTGGTGAACTTTAAGTGGTCTCAAGGAATATTAACTGTGACTTTTAACAGTTTCCCCACAAACTCGTCTCTGTTATTGGGTTGAAATAGATTAAACAGGTGAAGCAATAGGAGAAAAGGCTGTCAATACCAACATTTCTTGTATCTTATATTTGGGCTAATCCTACTGCATACATCATGCCAGCAGCAAAGAACAGCTAAATGCATCATATTATCAGCCTGCAAAAAAATCAAGTAGAGCTTTCTTTACATTAAAGATAGGAAATAAAATGACACTAGCAAAACTGGTATGGACTGAAACATGGAACTCCACAAGACTGCTGTGGTAGCTGCTCTTAGTTACGTAAGTAATTTTAGCCCCATAATTTAGAACATAAAGATGGCTACTATATGTCTGACATTCCTCTGCTTATGTCTTTCACAAAAAAGAGCTAAACATTTATTGCAGGATGAAGAGTTTTGCATAACATTTGCATCATTTATTCCTGACAGACAGTTTCCTCCTTTTCATGGCACAAGACACTCTTGATGAACAAATCCAAGACACTGTTTAATACTGAGATTCTTGCAAAATGGGACCATGAACACGTTTTCTTGTTACAGGAGTTCACTTTAGCTTCATGTCTTACTGAGTTCACAAGGCTTCTGATGTCTGACTGTGCTAAAAGGTAGAAGCCCCCAAAGTTTTTGGTTTGTTGCTTTGGCTCTGAGACAGTAGCTGGATCCCAGTTCTTCCTACTTAACAAAGTTTAGCCAGGGTCTCAAAACCCAGAAGCAATATGGGCCCCTTTGGTCTTCTCAAGCAGAGGGCTTGAGAAAATTTCTGGTAATCTTGTATATAGTTTGTTACTGACCACCAAGCTGATGTGGCCCACTCACCTCTTTCATTGAAGACAAATGTGAACAAAAAAAAATCCTAAAGCGTTTTATGACACACAGACAACAGACCTTGACAACAGCATATAAAATACACATGTATGGCCACCTACTAGAAAACAAAGAAAAGATAGCTCCTCCCTCATTTTAAACCTCTGAAATTTAAGCTCTAATCATGCAACTATTACGATCAATTCAGGATTTCTATTAACTTTACTGCAGGACAGAATACAGTCCACTGAAAAATCCCACTGGATTTAGCAAATGACAGTTTCAAATGGTATCAATAAACCCAAGCATCTTCTGCCATGGGAGAGACTCTGAATTTCAAGGACATTGTAGAGGACAATGGTTGTAGAAATAATTTATTTGGTTTAGAGCAGAATGTGGATAGAATATGATTAGAAAAATAGAGGCTTTCAAATAGAATATTCAAACTTCCAAATTTCAATACCTGAAAAAGTCAATACTTTATTGAATTATGTACAAGAAAACTATACTAGGTCAGTGATAGGATGGTGGATTTTCAGTTTAAGAGAATGACATCTGGGGGAAAAAAAGTACAAGAAAACAGGAGACATTCGTGATATATCCATTAATAAATTCCCAGATCTTCTTAGTAATAGTTTCTATCTATTTATTAACTCTCAACAGATGTCTCTTCCATGGAGTTGTCCAATTTTCCCTTGAAGCATGAATTCCACTGGCTTACTGTGGGGATTTTTTTATTCAATAAAATGATAACTTGTGTAGAGACACTGCTGTATATCTTCACTCATAGCCATGAACTGCATGGCCAAGACACAGCCAGAGCTAGTACAAGTTTGTGTGCCTCAGCTGTGCTGACATTTTTGTATCACTCTTGCCAGATCAGTGCAAGTTTACTAGATACAACACCAAACATTAGGATCCTCCTTGCACTGGAAGGATAGTGCAAATATATCACAAATATATGTGCCTCTGCAGAAGGCAGCCTTTGTCCAGTCAAACAAACTTTCCTCAAGCTCCACGCTTTTTTCCCAGTAACAGGAACACATAATAGGCTGGGTCAACCCGACTTTACATGGGTTTAAAGCTCTACACATCCCCTCTAGAAAGACCTCATTTGAACAGCAATGTGCCTGGTTTTAAATGCACCACCATGCAGACTGATATAGTTCATTCTGCATGGAGGTATTTCAGAAATATTTATGTTCATGCAATAGAAGAAGCAAAATCCAGAAGAAATACCTATTGCTGAGAGGTAACTGCAGTTACTGGCTACACAAAACAAATATGCAGATAAAGAAAATAACCTATATTCCATTAGGAAAATAGCTCCAGAAATAATGATTCCAGCTTCTCATGCATTGCCTATAATTTCCTGTAGAGATCACATTATTTCAATGTTTCCCCATAAGAAGAGCAGATAACACAGCTTCCTTTCATTCCTAACTCATTATATGACTAAGTTGTTTAAAACTATTGTTCTTTAGTAAGCATTCAGAAAGAAGAGTATGAAATACTAGACTAGGCCAGATCTTCATGTGACACTGTAAGATATAATTTTTATCCAGCTCAAGACAGCAAACTGCAAAAATATGCAAAGATGTTCCATCAAAAAATTAACCCTTCAGCTGTGTTTTAATCCAAGTAAGTGCAAAGATTAGGAAAGAAATAACATCTTATAATTACAGATTCTGGTGTAGAAAAATTATATAAAGACTTTATTTTAAATAGAAAAGGATTGTATATAAATATTTGTTGACAGTATGTTTAAAACATTTGCAAAGGCTTAGTCTCATATAAGATTCCTTCAAGATAAATAAGCAAACATCAGTAATCCAATGAAATTATTTTTTGGATCTAATGGAATTACATTTCTGATAAAAATGTGTTTCTGTGAATTAAGCACAACTAATTTGTTTGTATCTTAGGAAATTAATCCTGAAATTGATTCTTTTTAATTCTAATGCCTGATTTCTCGCAATGGTCTTTTAATGACCCTTACAAAGTCTCTGCTATGGAGCTATGGAGATTCACATTCAGAAATAACAGACTTTATGTTACAAAACAGTTCTCAAAAAGCACAGTGAGATGATTTACAATAAGAACAATGCAACTTTGTGCATCTCTGTCACTGTCTTTTCTCAGTATGTAAAATCCATTCAAGGCATTTCTCAGCTATTCTGCACTATTACTTTACTCTTACTCCTGTTACACTCAATAGGCTGTAGTGAAAATCTTAATGTTATTTCAGTGAGGAGAGGCACAAGAGACATCATCTTAACACTGGCTATTTAAAAAACTCAAATAAATCAGCATCTCCAGAGCAATGGATCGTTCACTTCACACTCCACCACTTTTTGAGCGCAGATTCTCCATTTCTTGCAAAAATACAGAGATCGTTTGCAATGTGAAATGCTCTTGTAAGAAAGAAAATGCCCTTTTTTGTGTTTTGGCAAGTTAAGAAATAAATAAGCAACTCAGTTCCTGCTTTATGAGCAAAACTGTTCTAGAGAGCTTGATGGCCAAACAGAGATTTTACTGGGAAGGACCCAGATGATGCTTAGTTCACCTAAACAGGCTGCAGTGGCACAACACTCATGCACTTCGTGTGTAGTTCAAAGCCACCAGTAAAAATCTCACTTATCTTTTAGGTTCTCATAATATAATCACAGCATAAAAGTGAACTTACTGCAGGTGACATACCTTTAGGAGTTTTTCTCTTTGCTTTGCTATGTTCAGTTTTTCAGAGAGCTGGCTGAAAAGTAAGTTGGGTGTTTCAACGTCTTCATGCATCAGAATGTAAGGATGCGCATTGCCTTAAATTAAAAAAAAAAGCAACTGACTATCGCTGCATTTTTCACAGTCAGCTTCTAAGTACAAGCAAAATTAAAAGAAGCTAGACTTATATTAACTTCTTCATGTTCTTTGAGCAAGCCTTCATATTAAACAAGCAAGAGATGCTAAATTCTGTGCTTAGAGAAAATGCAAGACTAAATCGGCAATAAAGAAATGTACATGTACTCTTAAAAATAAAAGTCAGCCACTTTGCTAGTATTTATGAAAACCAGGAGTGTTAGGCTAGTGTGAATAAATATTTAATGAGCATGGCAGATTAACACATGGTTACTTTGACTCTTTTCTCTTATTTGTGTAATACAGTCAAACAGTGAAAAATTATCCATCAATGACTATTTGATTTGAAAGAGAATTACCTGCTTATAAAGTTCTGGTTATGCCATAAAATTAGCATCACGAGACTCATCTAACATAAAAGACATATAACCATAGCACTCATATCTAGAACAACCTGAGACAAAGTTATTAACAGGTAAGTGTAAAAATAAACATGCAACAACTTTTTAAAAAATTGCAGTGAATTATTTGAACCCATATTTTCATAACTTTTATTGGCTTCAGTGTAAGCAGATTCTACCTCTATAGAAAATCTCACAATTTCTTGAAGAGGATAAAGAGAGACCCCAGAAGTGTTGAATTTTATAAATAGATCTTGAAACGGCACATTTGTGTTAACTCTCACATTCACAGGAAAGTATGATACTCATTTGAAATATGTATATTGTAAAAACTGAAGCAACAAAGTCAGAACTATTCATCAGTGCAACACAGCATAAAAAGCAATAATGTGCAAACTGGAGTACATACCTCTATTAGCATTCAGAGCAGCCAACTGTGATTTCAGTTTTGCAATAATGCTGTTTTGAAGCTCTATCTTTTCCTGCTGTTCACGTATTTGCTGCATGTAGTTTTCTGTCTGCAAATATAATTTAATTAGCATTAATCTTATTCTGACTAGGGGGTCTCCAATTTGGCATTTAAAAAGCAGCTCTGATTTTTAAAGATAACTGTAGTTGTGGCCCTCTGTGTAAAAACCTTTGGCAAGTCCATCTCTTTGGGACTGTACTGATTAGAAAAGGCATTATAGGAAATAACCCCTGTGTTTTTAATAACTCTTTCAGCTGTAGCAGTTGTCAAGGGTAACTTTTAAGTTAGGATTCTTCATTTACAGATGTAGACTACATCAGGCTTAAATTAAAATTTTAGTATTCTTCAGAATGCTTGTCAGTCAGTTTTTCTATAGAAAAAGTAATTTCCCCCCCATATTTTCTAACAAATTATATGAAAATAGGCTTTTAAAAAGATAGATTTTAAATGGAAAACAACAACATTGTTTATTCCATACAACAGATACTCTGTAAACTATTTTGACTGCCTATGAAAAGTTTTGTATGTTTCTTTGAATGTAGTGGATTAGTTTTCCTAACCTACATAATGGGGCTGGGGAAGAAGGTAAGCAAAAAGCCCCATCCTTTGTCTCCAATACTACAACTCATGCTATAAACAGGCCACACAGACTCCTCTAATAATACTGCAATTTTTCTGGACAGTCCATTAATTGAATGAATGGCCACGTGGCAGGAAGATGCTGATATTCAAAACTATTATTTCATTAGCATACGATGCAGTTACAGCAGAGCTAAAAACCATCAAGAAAACTTGTGAAATCCCAACAAGAAAACTTTCAGGAATGCACTGAAATTTTCTGAAATTAGGAGTATGTCTATTACTGAACAGGTCACCACCTGTCACCATTTGGGGCAAGACTCAGCATTGTTTTCATATCTATTCATAGTTTATCCATAGTGCTATCTAATTCTGAAATCTCAGCCACATTTAAATTCTATACCCTCCTACTGTCTGCTGTGTTTGTCTGTAAAGCAGGCAGGAAAAAAAATCTACAAGCAAAATTGATTTTAGAAGGCCAGGTAGTAGTTGTACTATGAGAGGATTTTTTTGTTGTGGTTAAAAAAAAAAAAAGAAAAGTGATCAAAGAGCAGTACACTCCAGCAGCTATAAGAGACCTCATGAAGCAGAAAAATCACTGAGAACCAAATTGAAAATGTACAACAGCAATGTCTTGTCAACACTTCTGTACAGAGCACAGACATGACAGCTAAAACAGACAGAAGAGAAGATGCTTTTGACAGCCAGTGTGCACAAATTATTCCTTGAGTCAGATGGCAGCAACAAGTTACCAACTAGAAGATCTGCATGACAACCAACCATCCATCTGTATCAAACACCATCTGGCCGAGATGACTCTGGCTTCTGTGTGCTTGACATGGCTCCCAGCTCTAGAGACTGGCAAAACAAGTGGCCTATCGGTAGCTTAAGTAGTAAACTGTTAACAACAGCATGGTGGACAATCCAACAGTGTGTGGAGGCCACACAATGAACAGAGGAAGTTACTAGAGTAAAGCACTGTTCAAAGGTCATTCAAAACCAGGAGTTTGGTTAATAAAAAAGCAGCACAAACAGAAAAACCCAAGTAATTTTAGTATCAACTCTTCTTGAAAAAATACTTTTGTTCTCTTTTGAAATTATAATATTCAACTACTGAACGTTTGATTAGGACAAAGATTTAAACTGGTAGTAATCCTTTATCAAAGGCTTTAAATTTTAAATTTCTGAACTAGTGAAAATGCAGAGAGCAATCTTGCAGGCATTTGGTTCACTTAGCACTGATGATCCCACACTTTTCTGGCCTCCTTGCATAGACCTTAGAAGGATTATCTGATCTTGTACTCGATGCCTTGTTTCTTGGTCAGAAGTTGCTTCCATGTACTTTTAGATGATTCAGAAGTATTAACTTATCTGGCTTTCCTTCAAATAGTTAACAGTTCATCCTAAGCATCAGAATTAAAAAATCCCTAAACGTTCTAAAATGTCTTGCCTTTTGTTAATTAGTTGCAATTTCAGCACAAAAATCACACTACTTATGGTTTTTATGTATAGAAACCTCTACAGATTTACACCAGCACTGCTGCAAGACTATGAATAGAGACAGACTGCACAGTGGATGATCGCACACATGACTGACTTGGAATGTGTTCTGTGATGCCTTGGCTAGTTTATTTTGCCATGCAAGAAGAAGGCAAGATTGGGCCCAGATATCAGAATATCCTCTATTAGATCCTTCCCTGCTTCCAATTCTACTACTGCTCCATAACTTGACATGGAATATGGTTCATCGGCCCCTGAACAAAGTCCCAGCCTACCAGTTCTACTGAGTATCAGAAAGTTCTGTGGCACCAAAAACATTCAAGCCTTCCTTAACACAGGTTCCATTGCTGGGCAGAATATACATGATAAAATGACTGTGACAAAGCCCAAACCTGATAGCTTTGAAATATGCTGTCCTACTTGAGAAGCTCTAGAGGAGTTTTGACTGAACTAAAGTTTTCTGCAACAGACTAACTAAAACTTTAAACTTAAAACTTTAAAGGTGCTTCTTACTGGTCAGAATGTCTCCAGAGACTTTCTGTTACTTCATTAAAGAATAAATGTGCAAGTTATTATTTTTAAAAGAGGAATACTTATTCTAGCAACTTTCAGGTACATTTGTCACAAAAATTGTTTATTTTAAGCTATTTATATTAATAATATAAAATTAATTTTTAAGAATGAAAATTAAATTCCAAAAAGTACTTTGTTAAAGTTAGGTAAATTTTATATACATCTTTGCTGTGTTTACATTAGAAGACTTCATTAATCCTCCAAAACAGACAACACTTTTCCAACCTTTAAAACTAATAAAAATACAAAAAAACCCAAAGTCAAACCCCAGAAACCCACATACTAAATTCAAAGCCTAATGAGTTACTTTGCAGTGTACTGGCATGGTTTCATAATGGCAATTTCCAACTTTAACAGATGCACTAAACTGTGCATAGCTAAAGTGAAACTGGTATCTACATGTACTACCATTCTTCATGGGAAGGATAGCTTTAAAGATAGAATTCAGATTCCAAGACCTACTTTTTGCTGTAGTTCTTTCACAGCATGGTCCCTATCCATGCATGCTTGTCGATAGGCTTCATAAGCTTTGTTAAGCTGCTCTCCAATGTTTTTGTCCATAATTTCCAATGTTGGTTCATCACTGGAAAGATGTTCAAGTTAACAGACCTGAAAAGTAATCAGAAGGAAAAAGAGAGAACACTAAGAAGCAGCAGTATGTAACTAAAAACATATATAGCAAGACTTGCACCACTGTTGTATTCAATTGATACGTGCAGTATGTTGACCGTTAACAGCATAGCTTGAACTACAGCTCTCAACATTTAATTTTATGCCCAGGGACAGGTTTAAACAAAAGACAACTAAAAGGAACTTAACTCTGAATCAAATTCTGAGTGTATAGAATGTGCAAATGTATCTGTAGTTACAGTGTTTAAGACTGAGACTTAAAATTGGTTCAGATTACCAGTTACCTGATTTTATGTGCTCCAAAAGTTTAATGTTTGCATTATTGTGAAATAAGGACAGCATTAATAACCAAAGCTAAACTAATCTTTTGGCATTGTGTGGAAAAATCATACTATGAAAAGCCAGTGTCCAGAGACAGAGGAGTCCTGCAACTTTATTTGAATAAAAGGAGGAAGAAAGTCCACTGGGGCACACACCTGCAGGGTTTTCTCTCTCTCTCGGTTTTGGAGGGGGCAGCCCTTTAATCCTGAACTCTCGGCTGCACGTCGCCCTCTTCCTTTCCCCACTGGCTGAGGTACTAGGAAGGTACAGCCTTCCTGAACTGCCTACCACATATCCCCCCTTGAACCTGTCATTTTACCCCAAAGTTCAGAAACTCAGGCTTGTAAGGACCCATTTGTCTGTTTCAGTCAAACTGTTTGGGCTCTGCAACAAACTTGCTTGAAGTTAGTAAAGACATTAAGATCCATTCCAAAGAGAATAACACCCATACCATCATCCATGGAATTGTTTGTAAAGACATTAGCACACATCTTTCCCATTAGCATTAAGAAATAAAAAGATAAAAACTCAATTAGGTCACACAAACCTATCCTATTCTGTGCCAAATTTGAAAATGTCAACGCAAATTTGACACATGTCAACACTTAGGGTACTAAGGTAGAGTTAGAACATCTTTTCTCTAAAATTGTCAAATCTTGGACCTTTTCACGCAATATTATGAACTTTTTACACTTTGTGTGCAATTTCAGTAACAACTCCAGAAACTACAGCTCATGAACTTTAACACATAAGACTAGAACACTATTAAATGTCAGACTCAATTTCAAGAACTTTGCAAACACAGGTCATTTGCTTCTATAGTAACATATGATACTAAGATCAAAATTTAGCATAATACAAGTACAGTAGACAACAAGTTAGTGAAGTCTTAAGCCCCACCCCCATCCCACAGCCCCTCACAAAAAGATAGCAGCATTAAGAAAAAAAAAATAGCAATTTCATCTCTCCTGGTATTTAAAGCAATGTGGACTGCCACTATCATCTCTCACTATCTCCTGGGATTATGCATAAACCACAAATACTACTAAAGAAAGCACATGAAGATAAGCCCAGCAGGAAGAGTATGAGGGTCACTTGCCTTGGACACTGCTTAAAATTCTAAAGATTGCAGCTTGAAGATTTTGTTCGTATTTCCTTGCTTTTGAATATCTTCCCTATCGTAGGGCTTGAATACAGAAATGTGGTCTGACTTTTCTAGAAGGTTCAGAGTACTGTATGGACATCACACTTTTTTGTCCTGCAAATTTTATTTTACTGATATGTTCCTACAGGAAAAGCAATTGTATCTCACCTCTGGCATGGCTGTACTTTATTAGCAGCAAAGTGAATTCTTTAACAACTTGGAATTTTTTAGGGATCCTTTCATGTAACAAACATTACTGAAATCCAAGTTTACAAGTTTTGCATAAAAGGCCTACATTGTTTCACATGAAAGGCTTTGTTTGTTTTGCCTTGTTTTTGTTTTCCTAAACACCAGTTCAGTAGTTTATAATCTCCAACAGTGCATACTGTCTCAAAGCATTGTTAGTAACAAAGCCTATTTCATCCACCTCCTTCTCCCTCCCAAACGGTATCCCTTCACTAAATGGAATATTCATGCTCATACCTTTAACTAAATGGGTAGGCTTTCTTTCCTTTTCAAATGAAGGACTGTTCTATGTAGTTCAATAAATAAAATCAGATATTATATCTGACTTCAGAGACAGATGCCAAACTCCAGAGGGCATTGTTATAGCTGAAAGTGACTGAAGTGTGTTCTCACAATCTTTACAAGCTTGTGAAGTTTGCATCAGTATTGATTTTGTACTCTTCTGAAATCCTGCACTGTTAACAACTTACCTAGTAAATGGCATATCCCATACATATAAGAGATAACTTCAAAAATGAGTGCAATGGAATTTAAGAAACTATGTTCATCTTCTAAAGGAGAGAATAAGGCTCAGCTCCACGTGACTCACAGTTCACAAAAACTGAAGGTTTTAATTTCATTCATGCAAACTCAAACCTCTATTTGAACAGAAGTATTTAAAACTTATACCTAATTTCCAGCCTTTTAGTCATTCATTGTGACTGAGAACAGAGAGTGCTGCTGTCGTCTGGACTGATGATATCAACAGGCAGAACTGTAGCACAGTGCCTAATTTTCTACTTGGTACGGAAAAGCAACTTACTTGTACCTCCCTAAACTTCAGACTCCATAAAGTAAGAAAAGGTCAATGAAAGTCATTACTAGTGACACCTAAGATGGCATTGTAACTAGAAGAATTGGTCCTATATTCACCCCATACCCAAGACATTCTCCTTCAACCTTACCCTTTGCTTTCTACCAGCACGAGCAACCTTTCTGTAAACCGTCTCAGCAAACCTATCCAGTTTAAAACTAAATACTAAATGTATTTTTGCTGCATTATTTTAATGCAGGTCAGATCCACACACCGCTTCAACTGGCACGATAACAAAAGGAAGCCTGCACAGGGACAGAAATGACAAAACAGAACTCCTGTGTTCAACAGCAGCTCTAGCTTTGAATTGTAACATGGAGTCACTGTTATGTAACAGTGTCACAAGTCTGCACTGCCACTGAGGATAGGCCAGCCTTTCCCCATCTCTGGCCAGGCACTTTTGCTACTTACTGAGACCACTGTCAGAACTTCTTTGCTACACAGCTGAGTATGCCAAAGTAGCTCCCTACTTCCTCAAAAAAAGCTACAACAAACCCCCTAAAAAAACCAACCTCGAAATTAAAACTGGAGCTAGCTCACTGCAAGGCTGCTGGAGCACTACTACCAGCACAAGGAGGCAGTGGGAACATGCGACTAGCCGTGGGCAGGACTGCCGCAGTCTAGATTTAGATTGGATTAAACTGCTCTGTAGTCACACCCCGGATTGCCTGCTGCTGGAATAAATAACTGCTTCTTATGTTATCTGTCTCATATCCAGAACTCCTTGCAGTTAGAAAAACTGGCTCATTTTCCTGCTTCTCCTCCATAGGCATCAATATTTATCAGGGAATTTGCCAACTGTTCCTTGTCATTTACCCTTCTCCTTGCATCCAATGAGGAGGAAAAAACTCCCTCCCAACAGCCCTAAAAAAACCCCCAAAAACCAACAAACCAAAAAACCCCAACCCAAATATCTCCGCTATTTTAATCAGTTATGATTAGTTATGCTGTATTCAAATGGCATCTGGAACATAATTCAGCTCAAAGCTGACAATCCTGATCTTTAGCAACTTACATTTTGGATATTCATTAGATCATAAAGACTTTCACAATCATTAACAGCAATACGTAGTCAGCAGAGATGCAGCGCTACAAAATGCTGCATTTATTCTAACAGGGACAGAATTAGAGAAAGAGATTAGTTACAGAGGTTATTCTGCAAGCGTGAATACCTGTGAGTGCTATGCTGCTGGAGCTATGGCAATGACAACTGGAATTTCATATTTGAGTAAGGAGTTGTACACTGGATAACCACTGCTAATTTTGTAAGACAAACTTCTAAATAAACACACCAAATGAAACCTGCAGATTATCTTAAAATACTTGCTTCAAACCAGAAACATTTTGCTGATATAGGTAGCAAGAAAAAAGAAATAGTAATAAACATTTTCTTAGTCAAATGCCAAAAAAGATCCAGCACAAAGTTAGCAAAATATTTCTGCTGAAATCCCAGCTCCACAGCTCACTACAGTTTTCATACTAGTTTTCCTATTGCCTCAAAAAGCACCTTAAATTATGAAAGAAAGGTTTTAGCTTATCATGGGTATATGCACATTAATTCATAATACAATTTCCTACCTCTCATAGATTCATGAGAGATGAGAACACGGGTGCCATCCAACCTCAAGTAGTTCTCTACATATTTCTGCTTTCAAAACAGATTTTTCGATTGCTATATTTTGTAAGTTACATTGCCATCATCTTGGAAACTGGAAGCCTGTTGAGATAATAATTTGTGAGAGACTGAGAGCTCATTGAACTTTTTTGTGTTTTGTTTTTTCCCTTTTTTTTTTTTTTCTGAGTAGACACAATTCCTGCTTTGCCCGACGGCGGGATGCGTGGTTAACACAGCAAGAGCTCCTCAAGGCACAGCAGCGTTAGAGCTGAGCGGCCCCTGCGCGCTCAGGGCTCGGCACGGCCATTCCCGGAGCGCTGGGGTTCGCTCCCCCCGCCGCGCTGCCGCTGCCCGCGGGGGCAGCCGCCTCTTCCTGCTCCTGCGCTCGCCCGCCCGGGCCATCGCCCCCCGGCAGCGAGCCCGCCGATCCCGATCCCCGATCCCCGGCTCCCGGAGCGCCTCCGCACGCGAACGATGCGCCCCCGGCCCCGCTCCCGAGCCGGGCCGAGCGAAGCCGAGGGGGAAGCAGCAGCCCCGGGGGCGGGGGCGGAAGCGCGGCCCGGGAGCCCTCGGCTCGGGATGCCCCGGCCCGCACTCCGGCCCCGGGCCGAGCCCCGCCGCTCCCGCGGCAGCGCCTGCTTTCCAAAGCCACTCAGACTTACGAGCGCCTGACGGAGCCCTCGGCCGCCCCCGGCACAGGGCGTTCGCTCCTGCCCGGGCGCCTTAACCCAGGAACCAGAACCGACTTCCTGCCGTGCCTCTCCCCGCCCTGTGACGGGGCCCCGGGTCGGGTCGGGGCAGGGCAGCGGCCGCCGGAGCCGCCGGGTTCGTGCAAGGTCGGCGCCTTCCTCGTCCGGCCCGCGCAAGGATGGGAGCCCGTCCGCTCGCCTCCGGCTCTCGGGCAGTGCCTCTTCTGTCTGGCTGCAGAAGACTCCTCAGCAGCCTCTGTGCTGCTCCCGACGTCCACAGCCCTTTCCTATTTCTGTCTTTTCATGACTTAGAGCGATTTGTAAATAACAGTAGTCACATTTGTAATATACTTTTCACGCTCAGGGTAGTTCCTCTCTAAAGGCCTGCGTTTATTTCATGAAAGCAATACGTACTATGGGTAAGAATATAATGGAAACGCACAGTTTTAATTTTGCTGCTGCTAAAAGCCCTTCTCTCTTTAGGTCACATACATAAGTACAACTTTTTTCCTGAAGGATGATAGGAGCTGATGGAAGAACATGAGGCTTTTGTTACATATTTGCCCAGGATACCATCACAGGGCCAGTGGCAGATCAGCACTATAGATTTCGAGGTAATCTCGGCTATCTCTGAGCCCCCGTGAACACATCCACGCAGCCGAGCTGTGGTGTTTCTCCTAGGGCAGAGCTTTTGGCTTGGCCCACTCACAGACCAGAACTTGTGTTCCAGCTGTCACAACCTGCCTACCCCGGGTGCCTGCCCTTGGAAGCCTGAGCTCAAACATAGTCACAGAAAAAGTAGCCAGGTGTGGCTCTCTGTGCTCTTTGGAAGATTATTTCTTTTATGATTTATCTTTCCTGCAATGATTTTAGCAACTCTTTTGGTCTATTTTGGCCTGTACTAAGACTAAAGAGACTTACAGGGAGATAGCTTCATGAGCCTATAAATATACTTCGTGTTTGGCCATTTTTAAGAACTTCAGGTGAGGTTCTAATGAAATATTAAGATTCAGAGAGAGTTTCCTCTTTTAGCACGTTTCCAAGAAAGGGGGATTCAATTTCCTTTTTCAGAGACAGTGTTTGAGATGTCCAAGTTAAGGTTTCATTCAACAGGATCTTGAAAAATAAAATGGGTGCAAGCAAAAATGGCTATTGTTTCTCTTTTAATTCTACATGTTACATTTTTAGTCAGTTTTGGCAAGTAGTTATGCTCTTAAAATAATAATGGATATCTCAGCTGAAATATAGCCTGCATTTCTTAAATTTAGATCAATAGATGCAATATAATTTAACTGCTATATTTAAAAAGGGATAATGTGCAGAAAGGTACAGGTGGGTGTTGTCTGATGATAAGCATGCCTCAACTAAGACTGTGACTACCTGAATTCAAATAGAACCATAATCTGTATACCACCTCTGAAACACTATCATTGTGTGGTAGTTGTTTTAGAGGGAAAAATACTTGTTAAATTCTAGGAATATACTTAATGTAAATTTGAAGGTCTCAGACTCAGCAACTCAAAACTGACAACTGTCTACAAAGATGACTTCTGCAAATCACATGCATTAATCTCTTAGTGCTTTATCTTTCATATTCTTTCACAGTAAAACAAGGGAGAAACTGTTTTTTCCTTTATCTTCATTGTTTAGTGTGTTCTTTCTTTATATTTCCTCCCTCAAGACAATAAGGTGTATTTTACAAACTTTACAGTAACCCATCTTGATAATCTTAGGGACCTCCAACCTTTGAATAAATAAAATAGAAGAAAAGACAAATACCTATGAAAATAGTAAAAAGCCTCTATTTCGTAGTTGGCTTCATATCTGATCTTTTAGATCTCTTTCAGCTTTACAGTCAATCACTAAATTACTTTTTGTCCTTTTCTTCCTCATATTGCTTTCTTTTTCTTTGTTTTTCTGCTCACCCCTCTTTTGTCTCTGTATTCTCTTCCCTACTGCTATTCCAGGAACAACTTTCTGTATTTCTGCCCCACATCAATATTTCACACTTTTATGTCATTGTCAAGGCAGGATTGCTTTCCTTATGTGGTCCTCACAAGATAGCTGGAAAGAAGAAGCACATATCAGTGTATTTAAAAATGATCTAGGGTTTTAGAAATCTACTGATCTTAAAAACAGTTGCAAACCATTTATCTGGGGTTTGGAGTGGTGGCGCAGGGTTTCTTGTTTTTACTATTTTATTTCACTTTGTGTTCACAGTCAGAGAAAGTCTTATTTGACCACTTATGCTTAGAAACTTAAGAGTGAGGTTTCTTTTGTTGTTGGTAGGGGTTTTGTTTGGGTTTTTTGTTAATTTGTTTTTTCTTGGTGATTGGGAATTAGCAAGTTGATACTTTTTTCATAGTGAAAATTGAAGTTTGCGCTCAGTGGGCCAAACAGCATACTTAAATGCTTACATAATCTATATGCAGTTTGCTGTTTCACATTACTTCTGAAATGCTATTTTAACAGGAATTTTCTTCAGTCTGTGCTGATGTGTTAACACTGCTCCTTGGTTACACTGCGCTGAGGTCTGGGGAGGAACTCACTGCTTTCAGGAGAGGCTGCTGCTGGAGCAGGTTTCGCCTGATTCCTTTTTATGATTTTCTAAGCTTACAAATGCAAAGTGGCTTCTACTAGAAAGAGGTTAAAATATTTCTCGTAAATTGTTAATGTAGCCATTCGTTCAGACGCTAGGTGGCTCACGTCAGATGTTAAACCTTGTCCGGGGCTGAGAGCCTGGTCCCCAAGGAGTGCGCTGGGTGCTGAAAGAGTCGCTGCTGCTCTGGGGTGTTTCGCCGTTCTTTTAATCTGTTGCTGCCTTAACAGAACGAAAGCGTGTTTTAATCTTGAAATCCCTCTTCTGGTCAGAAAATGAGAACTGTGGATTAATTTAGATCAACTGTTGTCATTCCTTAATATGAAGGAAAGTGAAGTTGATTTTTTTTTCCCTAACGTGAAGAGTAGTAGTTGATGAGCCTGTGTAAACGTTAGTATGTAATTTGCCTATAGGTTGTAACAGACAAAGCTAGTTTCTACGTTCCAGAAACTAAAGGATATTTAGTCAAAATGCAGACATACAGATTTGGAGCACTACAAGAAGCATAAAAGTAATGTCATACTTTTTTGATGTATCTGAATGCTGAAGCTGATAAGTATAATTTACTCATTGTATTTACTAAGTGTAGGAACAAAAAGTGGATTTTCTTTTATCATCTCTTTGGTAACAGTATAGGAAATCTTTATGTTGCCTGGAGGAGTAGCAACAGGATTATGAAATGAGGTTTTGTGCTTCTTATGACTAATATTAGCTGGGAACTTCCACTGAGAAATACCCAACTGAAGAACTTCCTTAAAATGCAACTGTGTGCAGTCATTCTCTGAAACAGAGACTTTAGCAGAAACAGTCTGCAAACCGGTTTTGGACCCAGTGCAACATTCTTTATTTCCCTAAGTGATATCGATGATTTCTGGAAGCTCTCTACCCTGGAGAAAGGTTACCCTACATGAAAAGGGAGCAGTGCATGAACAGGCAACTCTGCATGCGTGGGAACAGTTAACATACAGAGCAACTGTTGTACCAAATATAATACATACTTTTTAATATGTTGTGAAGAAAAAGCCCGTGATGATAATGACACCAAGAGAAAGTAGCAACAGCTTTGGAAAACAAATGCTATTCCTCTATATAGAATATAACTTGTGTTACATATAGAGGGAGTAAAAGATAGGGAGTGTAATACTTCTTTGAGAAGAATAGCCAATCCACTGATTCTTAGTTAAGCTCCAAAGAAACTTTATTAGACAGACCCTTGAGATTTTTTATTGTAATTGTCTCTCCCTACTTCCCCTCAAACTACTGAAACTGAGTTCTGTAGAACAATGTAGGGAAAACACCTTGAAAAATTCATGTTCCAGCATGAGTGCCTTTTTGCCACAGAAGCAAGTATTCAAGAAATTTAACATATCATCATTAATTCCTTAGATCTCTCAATGTGAAAAAGTGAGATATTTTGATATCAACCACATTACAAAACTTTTCCCTTTGTTCCATGTTAAAACTCATTAGATCTTGATAACCAATTTGTATAGAACTACATTATACAGGGTATTAATTTAAGAAAACATGATTGATAAACAGAGCCTTTGCACAATTTATTGAATGTTTTTTGATCCCAAGCCTCTATTTAGGTTTTCAGAGTAGAGTAAGAGTGGAAACAATCAAGGAAGATGTATTTGAAATGAAACATTTAATTTCTGGAATCTTATGACCTCTTTTCCTCCTCTACAAAATGGGGAGCTGTGTCATGCAGCAAGACCACAGATTCCACAGTATTATTTTTGTTTTTGTAGTGTCATAGAATTCCAAAGTTTGGGGAGAAGGAAGAGACAGCTGTTGATGCCAAGTCATTACATTAATGGACCTGTGTTAGTATACCTATGGAATTTCTTGTCAGAACTGTTCAGGATGTGAAAATTTTGGTGTTCAGGAGGAGATTGGACAAATAATTACTTGAGAGATTCACTGAGGGAAACTAAAGAGACAGGCAGCATCAATCTCAGGAAGTTCTCTGACCTGAAAATAACTGGCAGCTGGGAGAAGACTCTGAGGAAGTATTACATATGCTTGCCCTGTTCTCATTCTTCCTAGGGCATTGATTTCTAGCCACTGCTGAAGAGAAGATGGGCCTGAACCAATGTGGCATATGTTCTTACGTTAATGACTTCATGCTGATACAAATGTGTAGGAATTTCTCTACATTAAACAACCTCCTGTAAAAGACCAGATTCTGTAGAAGTATAGGGAACTTACAATTGCAGAAGCTCCAAAAAGTCTTGGAAAATTAATTCGGAATTATTTCTTAATATTTTGAGAATTTCCATTTGAAAGATAGAACCTTTGGGCAAGTTTATTAAAGATAATCAGTTTTATCTGGTTTTTCAAAGATGCTGTGTATAATTTCACTGTGTTTCTAGTTAAATTATGATGACCGACAGATCAGCTGCATATTATTCTAACTGCTCACAAGGCTT